TTTTGGTCAATGACATGAGACAAAGTATATGTGAACTGCTGTATGAAAAGTGAATTTACTCTGTAAATCTTCACCCAAATCCTAAAAAAAAAAACAACAAGAAAAAAAAAATGTCAAAGATTTGCTGGAAAAGAACTTCCCTAACATTATGAAAGACAAGATATATACTAAAGAAGTTCAAGGAACTCCAACAGGATAGACTTTAACAGAAAATCAACAAGACATATCATAACCAAACTTTCTAAAACCAAAGAAAAAGAAAGAATTCCGAAAGCAGCAACAGAAAAATGAAAAGCTACTTACAAAAGGCAACCACCAAGACTAAGCTCTGATCTCTCAGCAGAAACCATGCAGGTGAGAGGCAATAGGATGGGAGATATGAAACCCTGATAGAAAAAAAATTGCCAACCAAGCATTATTTACCCAGCAAAATTATTCCTCAAATATCATGGTGAAATTATGACATTTCCCGACAAACAGAAATTAAAGGAATTTGTAAACACAAGAACAACCTTATAAGAGATGCTAAAGTGAATCCTTTGGACTGAGAACCAAAAACGCAGACAACAACCTGTGACTAACACACATAAAAACATAACCCAGAAACCAACCCAGATACAGAAGTATCTAAAGTAAAATAAACTTCCAAGACTGAAAACAGGGAACCCAAGACACCAATATGTAAATGAGGACAACTACAAAGCAAAAAGAGGGAATAAATAGTGTAGTACAGAACTTCCAAATGGATAGGAAGTCAGGACGATTTTGAGATAGAATGGACTGTTTTAAACTTGGGAAGAATGTTAATAATAAATGTCAAAGAAAAGTTAGTAAATTCATCAAAATGAAAAAGAGGAAAGGCACAAATATGATCAAGAGCTAATGGTACTGAAGGAAGAAGTCAAAGCTGCTTTGAAGGAACTGGCAAAAAAACAAGGCACCAAGAAGTGATGGAATGCCCACTGAGATGTTTCAACAAATGGATGTCCTCCTGTAGGCACTTACTCGTCTATGCCAAGAAATATGGATGACAGCTACCTGGCCAATTGACTGGAACAGATTCATATTTGTACCCATTTCAAATAAAGGTGATCAAACAGAATGTGGAAATTATCAAACAATATCATTAATATCACATGCATATAAAATCCTGCTGAAGATAATTAAAAAACGGTTGCTACAGTATATTGACGGAGATCTTCCAGAAATGCAAGCTGGATTCAGAAGAGGATGTGGAATGAGGGATATCACTGCTGATGTCAGATGGATCTTGGCTCAAAGCAAAGAATACCAGAAAGATGTTTACTTGTGTTTTATTGACTATGCAAAAGCATTTGATTGTGTGGATCATAACAAATTGTGGATAACATTGAGAAGAATGGGAATTCCAGAACAGTTCATTGTACTCATGAGGAACCTGTACGGAAACCAGGAGGCTGTTGTTTGAACAGAAAAAGGGAACACTACATAGTTTAATATCAAGAAGGGAGTGTGTCAGGGTTGTATCCTTTCACCATACTTATTCAATCTGTATGCTGAGCAAATAATCCGAGAAGCTAGACTATATGAAGAAGAACGTGGCATTAGGATTGGAGGAAGAATCATAAACAACTTGCAATATGCTGACGACACAACTTTGCTTGCTGAAAGTGAAGATGACTTGAAATACTGATGAAGATTAAAGAATACAATCTGCAGTATGGGTTACACCTCAGTATAAAGAAAACAAAAATCCTCACAACTGGTCCTATAAGCAACATTACAATAAATGGAGAAAAAATGATTGAAATTGTCAAAGACTTCACATTGCTTGGTTCTGCAATCGACGCCAACGGAAGCAGCAGTCAGGACATCAGATGATGTATAGCACTGGGCAAATTGGCTGCAAAGGACCTCTTTCAAGTGCTGAAAAGTAAAGAATGTGTCCTTGAGGACTACGGTGCACCTGACACAAGCTGCGGTATTTTCAATTGCCTCATATGCATTTGAGAGCTGGACAATGAGTAAGGAAGACCGAAGAATTGATGCTTTTGAGCTGTGATGTTGGCAAAGAATGCTCAAAGCACTGTGGACTGCTAAAAGAACTAACAGGTCTGCCCTGGAGGAAGTGCAGCCAGAATGCTCCTTGGAGGCGAGAATGGCCAGACTTCGTCCCACATACTTTGGTCATGTTGTCAGGAGACCATTCCCTGGAGAAGGATGTCATGCTTGGTAAGATGGAAGGTCGACAAAAGAGGGAAAGGTCCTCAATGAGATGAACTGACACGGTGGCAGTGGCAATGGACTCAAGTATAGCAAGAATCATAGAGCTGGCTCAGGACTGGGCAGTGTTTCATTCTGCTGTGCATAGGGTCACTATGAGTCAGAGACAACTTGATGGCACCTAACAACAACAATGGTTTTAAGACTCCAAGCCCAGACTCTTGCAGCAATGGACTATGGGTGGGATATAGGGAAGTAAAGCAGAGAACATGGCTGTGGGCACAGGCTCTTAGAGTCTGTCTGGCAGGTGAGCAGGTGAGAGGCAAGGGTGCGGGCTGGGAGGCCTGGGCTGCTCCAACTGCTCAGGGGGGCAGAACAGTGGGCAGGGCTGAGAGCTCCACTCCCTGTCTGCTTGCTTCCTCTCACTCCGCTCCTTCTCCCCTCAAAGCAGCTTCCTGTTCCTCCAGCCTCCACTAGGGGCTCTAGCAGCAGAAGTGGTAACAAGGAGGGTTGAAAGTGGGCTCTCATAAGGTTTTATTCTGGGATTTGCACAACCTTCAAATCACATCAGGTCCTATTTCACAGAACAGACCGTGGACGTTAAGCAAGAGACACCTGCACATCAGGAGGTTTGAAACTCTACACTTTACAATTTTAAAAAAATCTAGAAAATTTCTTCATGTCTGATAAAATTTTAATGAGTATAATGACAATAAAAATTATACCAAAAACAAAAACAAAATCAAGAGAATATAAAACTGGCAAGAGCTAAGATACATCAAAATCCATTCATCAAAGTAAGTGCTGAAGTTTCCAGGTGATTTCCTTCCGAAACAAATTTTGTGTGGTTCTATTATAATAAATGTACACAACGTACCAAGAGATACACGCAACCAACAGTTTAGGGTCTCAATACCAAAACACTGTGAGGTGTTGCTTTTGGTTGAAGTCTCTTATTAATCACAGTTGATCCCTAAGCTCCTCAACTCAATAAACAGTACTTTCCTATTTATATCACATAAAAACACGGTTTATATAAGCAAAATCCATCACTTGGAATGCAACCAGAAGCTGACAGATTTTAAAGGCTGACTAACGACTTCTGGAAAAGCTTAACAATGACTTTGCTTATGTATCTCAATTTTACTCTCTGTTCCTGCAAAAGTTGAAAATGGAGCTCATCAGCATCAAATGTTTACTCTTTCTTGAGATTATAATCTTTTCTTTGTAAGCAACAGAGGAACAGAATAAGCAGAAGACAATGTAAAATAATGGAATAGGTAACTAACACATCTGAACTGTATTACCTTTTATAAACTTAAGCCCAATTAGTATGAAATAATTTACATAAAAGGAACATCTTAAAGTTTTCAAGGTATACCAGCAAGTCTCCACTATTGAATCACTGATTACATGACTTTTAGGGAGGAAAATAAATGGGTTATTTTTGTATTTTACTAAGGTGTATATATAGGCACAGATTTAACATTTTCTATCATATGTTATAGTACAATATTCTTAGAAAAAGCACTGCAAGGAAGGAGCAAATGGTAATACAAGATCATCTTGACACAGCATAATGAGGATGGTATTTTCCTCCTCCTTCTTTTCCCTTTTCTGTAATTTCAAGTTTTCTATAACAGAAGTATACTGCTTTCAAAATTGAAAATTTCAGGTCTAATTTAAAATAGTCTTTAAGGTTAGATAACGTAACATCAATGTACTTCAAGAAAAGCAAATCCTAAGATCTATACATATTTTTTGAGGTTTTTTTTTTATTTTAAAAGGTGATGACCACCCTATGAAGTACAGAGATTTACCTGTTCCTTTCCGTGTGACCTCCATGCTCCATGGGGGCTTTGTGGTGGGTACGCCATCGCAGCCTGTGGAGTGCGGGGGCACTGAAGCCGCCCGGGAGCTGGCTGGCCGGAATTTACAGAGCCCTGAAATGGCAGGGAGAGAGGGAGTCACATCTTTGTTTCTCAAAAGAAGAAACAGCCTGACCGGCTTTACAAGTTAACCATAAAAGCAAAAGCAGTTGAAACACAGTAAAATTCTAATAATGTAAGAATATCATTTTTACAACTGCTGAAGATTCCACATAAATAAAGCACTATTGTAGAGTGGGGAGCTCTGGTAGCATAGTGGCTAAGACACTTGCCTGCTAACCAGATGGCTGATGGTTCAAACCCACCAGCCACTCCTCGGAAGGAAGGTTGGGCAATCCTACTTCCGTAGTGATACTGCCTCGGAAACCCAAGGAGGGGTCGCTATGAGTCGGGTTTGACTCGACGGCACATAACAACAACACTGTAGAGTGGGTAAAGAGCTCTGGTGGTATAATGGTTAAAGCATTTGGCTGGTAAACAAAAGGTTGGCAGTTTGAAGCCACCAGCTGTTCCACAGAAGAAAGATGAGGCAATCTGCTTCTGTAAAGACTTACAGCCTTGGAAACCTAATGGGGTCACCATGACTTGGAATCAGCTAGAAGGCAGTGAGCTTGGTTTTTCTGGTAAAGGAGGTAAAAGCACCAGCCAGGGAAGTCCTAAGACTTGGATTCTAGCCCCAAGTCTGCCATTACCTTGCTCAACTTCCCTTATCTGCAAAATGGACAGAATAGATAAATAATTGCTAAGAACTCTTACAAGTATAAAAGACAAAGGGTTCATTTTCCAATATACCTCTTTGACTCATATTCTACATAAAACCAGTTCTTAGCCCATCATAACAGCTAAGCACTTGGCTGCTAACCAAAAGCTTGGTGGCTTGAACCCACCTAGTGACTCTTCAGTAGGAAGACCTGCTGACATGCCTCCACAAAGCTTAGAGCCAAGCCACCTTATGGGGCATTCTACTTTGGCACACGGGGTCTCTATGAGTTGGAATTGACCTGACAGCACGCAACAACAAAACAAAACCTTTACGAGTCCATTGTAGAGCACTAGACAGTGAAAATAATCTTGACCTCAAAACTAAAGCACAGACAAAAAGCAGATGAGGGTGCTCACACAAATGTGACATGTTAAAAACAAAACAAAACAAAACGCGTATTTGAATGTGCAGATCATAAAAGACAATCACCATGGGGTATGAACATGCTTTTCAAATAAAAAGAAAGAAAGAAACAATACCCAGAAATAAAAAGTCATATTCATAATAAAAGAAACTTATTTTGAAGTAAACCTAATTTATCATTTAATAGTTAGTCCACTGGTATTTTTAAATTATTACACTAATGACAATAAAACAGTGCTATGACAGATACAAAAAAAATGAAAATTAATGGATCAAGGTAGATCAGTATTAGAAACGTAATGCTGAGTGGAAAAAAAATGTCATGTTGAGTATCATACCATTTTCATAAAATTTGAAAAGCAAGCACAAGCAAGCATATAGGGTTGTGTATTTATGTGGTAAACTATAAAGAAAAGCAACAATATGATTAAGAAAAAGAAAATCTAAGACAGTACTTGTGATGCAAAAGCCACAGAACAGATTCCAAGAGGAAGCTCACAGGGAGCTTCCTGGAGTGGCACGGCATTTGGTGGACACATTACATTAGCGATACGTTTTATTTTGTTTTATTACTATATTTTATAACTTACATCAAATACTTTTTTTTTTAAAAACTGATGAAATAATCTAGAGTAATCTCTTCAGAAGCATTACGACAGTATGTGTCAATAACTAAAAGCAAACCAAACCCAGTGCCACTGACTCAATTCTGACTCATGGCAAGCCCACCGGCTTTTCAAGGCAGTAAATCTTTACAGCAGTAGATTGCTCCATCTTGCTTCCGAAGAGTAGCTGGTGGGTTTGAACAGCCAACCTTCTGGTTAACAGTCAAATGCTTTAGGCACTGAACCACTAGAGCTCCTTAATAGCTATGAAAATCTTAAACAGCTCATAAGATAGCTAAAAGTAATCTTTTTACTGGTAACTCATTTTGGGGAGTTTATCCTAAGAACATAATTTAACAAAAAAGGAACAAAAGCTTTCCAAGATGATACTAAGTGCAGAATTATCTATAATAAACACAATTTAGAAACAACTTCAATGCTTACCAACAGAGAAATAATAAGGCAAATTATAGTATATCAACTCATTAGCTAAGTAGTATTTTCAAACAAAAAACATTGTGATGCTATGAGAAAAATGTGCAAAAATCTATATAATATTATGTAGAATAAGCAGGCACAACTAGAAAGCAGTTGTGTTATGGGTGGAATTAAATTTAGTCTAAAAATTGTAAGGTAATTAGGGTTACATTATTTGAAAGAAAAACAGATCTAGTATTTCATTTTGAAGTTAAATCTACTAGAAAAAAAAGAAAGAAATTCAAGCTACTGGAAGGAATGTGGTGAACAGATTTTATAAAAAAACAAAATACACTTACTCCCTCACTTCCTGACCACCTCATTAATGGCATCCCACCTTTATGACAACAGTAACACATCTATCATCTGTGCATTAAAGTGGCAGCAGGCACAGCAGCCAGGGCCGTGGGGCATCGTGCCCTTGAGGAGGGTCTCTGGCGACCATGCTGCCCAGTGCCCTCTGTGCCCACCCCTCCTGCTGGTGGAGATGCTGCCGCCATGCAGGGCCGGTCTCCTCTGTGGTCACAGCCCCTGGGCGGATGCAAACGCAGCATTAAGCCAGAGGGCTGTCTGTTCTGGGTTCTCAGCTCCCATGGGGCCTGAGGCCCTGTAGCTCAAAACTGCTGAGGGGCAGGAAGGGAAGAAAGAAACAGGCATGAGAGAGGCTTGGAAGAAAGGCCTGCGAGTTTACTGACACCCCAAAGTGAGCTGCACTGAAGCCTCCGCCTCGATGGGTCAGGTATCAGCAGGCTCCGAGTGCCCGCAAAGGGAGCCCGAGCCTTGGTGACTCGTTAGGCCTAGAGGCAGAATAGCTCTAGGACGGTGAGTCCAGAGCTTGAAGGGGCAGGAGTGGAGCCCTAGAGGCAGATCCATAGGGGAAGCTCTGACTCAGCCAGGAGGAAGGGGAAGTGCTTAAGCAGTGGGCCTTCTAGTCCTGCTGCCGGCTTTCTCCAGCTTTCTCTCTACTAAGCCTCCTTCTCAGCCGAGGTATAATCCATAACTGTACTCGTCACAGTGACAAGCAAATCAGTAAATCTTAGCTGTTATTATTTCTATGATTATGTTTTCTAAATTAAAAAAAAAATCAGACAAACGGATAGTCTAAAAACAGGAAAAAATCCTCCATTTTCTCATAATGCCAATTTTCACATAACAACTTGGCTTTTGGAACCTAAAACTGTTGAGAAATGAGGAGTGGGTATCCAGCAGTATGCCAAATACTAAAAAAGGACAAAAATAAAATAAAACACTTCCTTTGCCTATATATAACATGATACAGTCTAGTATTTTACATTGGCTACTTTAAAACTTCATACTTGTTCATCTGAAAACAGAGTAACACATCACAGAACAGTGAGACCGTTTGAGCCCACTCTATTACCCAGTAGCTGCAGTACAATTCTCTTACCTGGAGTTGATGGCCTGTCCAGCATGTTCAAATGATGAGAAATGAATGCCTGGCTATCGTGAACAGTGTCCATGTCAATTTCCTCCTCATCTTGAGAATTTGAGAACTAACACACACACATACAAAACAATGGAGAGAAAGAGCCATAATATAATTTCATGTCTTGATCTGAATTCTTAAGAAAGATAGCAGAACAGCCATTAGGATATGCCCCCCAAATAATCTTAAAAGGAAAAGAACTATCTTTCCCTCAAGAAGAATCAAGAGAAAGAAAAAATTATGTGGTCCAGCCCCCAAAAGAAGCTGACTGGAAATTATTGGAAATGCAGTAACAACTGAAGTCTATTCCTATGTAGTGGGAAGAAGCAGTGAGCTAGGGTGGAATGTGCACACATAGTTTCTCTCCCAAACTGAGAGAAGAAATATGTGATAACAGAACTTCAACAACCAGTTGCAATGTCATAGATGGACATTTGGGTTATTTTATGATTCAGTCTGTCCCATGTGTTTCTACTAAGGAAAAATCATTACAAGTATTCAAAAAGATTTACAAGAAGATGAATATCCTACACTGTTAATACAGGTTTAACCTGTATTTCTTACTCTGATTTTGAGTTTGACTTTACTGCTATCCTCATTCTTCTCCAGTATTTGACCAGGTTCTAGTGGGGACCCCAGTGGTGTATCAGCCTTCCTCTTCACTCCCTGCTGATGAGCTGACATATTACATGATGCTTCCTTGGCAAGGTGATCATCTTCCTGCAGCAATATTCAAGATCAAAATTAGATTGCTGAAGACATGTAGCTCATACTGTAACTGAAGACTAATAGCTAAAGCAACCATGCAGATCAGAGCAAGCCCAGTGCCTAAGAGTTATCAACAATGGGCTTAAAATAAATTTAACATTTTCCTATCTGCTGGGTTTCTTTGGGGGGATGAGGGTGAGGAGAGGTGAGAGAAGCTTCAAAAAGAAGAATATATTTAAGTGAACTTTTAGAGCTTTCCAAAAATAGTGTGTCTTTTGGGATTACTTTCTCCTCTTATCCTGAAGACTACCCCAAGTGTGAATGTGGGCATCAGAGAAATGAACATGTATGAGCAAGAATTAGAAACATTAACCATTTCAGGTTTACGAATATTCAGATCTGAAAGATATATGAAACTCTTCTCTATGGAAGGATCTGTCTTACTTTTGCCTAACTTGGAACTCTCACATACACTTTAAATTTACAGCAAAGAAGTAAGAATTTACTTCATAAAATCTAAGTGAATCAGAAATTTAAAAATGGCTAACTAGTATAGAAAGAATCTGAGTTTAATGCATCAAAACATCAGTAGGGAATTGCCAGGCAAGTACTCTGGTCTAAATACTGGTGAAAAATGAACCTTGAAGTATTGGGGACATTGGTCATCAATAAATACCATCTCTGGAAAAATGTCTTTAAATTACAGTAAAGTAATTAATTCCATGTATCCTAAAAGCCCTCTACAAAGGCTTGATAATTTTGTAATGCATAGCTACAAACAAAAGCTTTTCTAAAGGCCAAGAAACACACATATATAAACAAACACACATATATAAACAAACATGTATATAAACAAAAACATGTAGCAAACAGTCTCTTTACAAATTAAGGGATTACTTATTCATCTAGGTATTCATTTATTTATTATTGTTATGCTGTTTAGCTCAGTTCATTCAGCTATCTATGTATCATCCATCCATCATCCATCCATCCATCCATCCATCCATCCATCCATCCATCCACTTACCTATCTGTCCATCTGTCTGCCTGCCTGTCTGCTTACCTGCCTACCTACCTACCTGCTTACCTACCTAATTCAACAAGCATATGCAGGACACTTTATGTATGTTTAGAATTGTGCTAGATATTATGCACAGCAGCAATGAAAAAGACAAGGGCCCTGTGGTCAGCTTACTATAGACATATATGAACAAGATAGATTGAATATGACAGATTAAGTATTCACTTCAAACTTCTGCTATCTAAAGCAGAAATTCTATGCTCAAGTACAAAAAAATCACTATGTCATCACAAAAGAAGTAAACGGGCTGGTAGCACAGCATCTGTGTGGCCAAGCAGTTGTCAGTAGCACTTTATAAATTTTAAAGTGCTAAACAAATGTCGCTATAACTTTTTAAAATGTTACAAGGAACTGTTGTTGTTGTCATCTGCCGTTGAGTCGGACCTGACTCATAGGGACCCCTCCTTGGATTTCCAAGGCGGTATCTTTATGGAAGCAGATTGTCCAACCTTCCTTCCGAGGAGTGGCTGGTGGGTTTGAACAGCCAGCCTTCTGGTTAGGGGTCAAGTGCCTTAGGCACTATGCCACCAGAGCTCCCAAGGAACTGTTAGTGGCTATAAAATTCACCAGCTCAAAGGAAGAAATTCATTTCTCTAGATGGCTGCATATAATACACGAGAATCTTCCAGAATACATGAGCTCTTACAGCGTTCTGAAATCCAACGAGCTGGGGGTGACTGCCTGGATTACTCGCAGCTTCTTGGTTGCCTGCCGCTGCCTCTGGAATTATGGTAGGATTCAACACAGCTTTTTTCTCCTTTAGATTAAGAACCAACCCAAGTTCTGGCAGAGGTAAGCAAGAAGGTCTACTGAGGCCAAAAAGTGTGAAGTACAAGTCCACAGCGCCACACCGTAACCTCCAGTCATGTGAAGTACCTATGAAGTAAATAATAAAGAAGTGAAAATCAACATGCACACTGGCCCCCCCTTTTTTGTTCTAGAGTCTGTATAGAGAAAAGGGACAAAATAAAAGATGATAGGCCATCCAGGACCTAGGCTGCTCTGACAAACGCTGTACTCTCAAAATTCATCTTAGCCCAGCACTTAACAAATTGTTACAGAAACAATAAATGCAGATTAATGAACTAATCCATTTTATAATTGGAGAAATTTTGTTATCAGCCATTCTTATAAAATCTAAGACATAAACAACAAAAAAATCTAATATTCTGAAAATAATACTTTTCCCCTGGCCTGAAGTCCTCCTCTGCATCCCTCCTCCCCAGTCACTCCTCCACATTGATTCATTCTGCTCATCTTACCTGGTTTCCTTCTTTCCTAGCCTGTTAGTTAGGAAGATAGCATGCCATGAGCCTTTATAAACCCTATCACTTGAAACAAATTCTCTTACCTCTAGAATTTATTTTCCAACTTTTAAATATGGTAACATTATGGCTACTTGAAAAAAAAAAAAAATTCTTAACCAGGACTTATTGTAGACGAAGAAATCATTTTGCTAAACACTATCATATGTGTTTGCTGTCCTGAGTATTTATTAAAAAAACAAACAACAAAAAAGCAACCACAGGGATGACAACATGCAGTCAAAACATGTATTTGACCAAAAGAAGACTGGCTATGCAGAAAGTTAATCATTAAACTAGCTGACAGACTAGAGGCAAGTTCTTTCCATTTCTCGGGTATCATTTATTTCATCTCCAAGGGTTTTAGTCTCAGGCTCTCTCTCTTCCTCCCCACAGCAATGACAGACCAGAACTTCTTGATCAACAAAGACTCACTGCCATCGAGTCAGATTCGACTCAAAGCGACCCGTCCTTGGGTTTCCGAAGCAGTATCACTACAGAAGTAGATTGCCCAATTTTCCTTCCGAGGAGTGGTTGGCAGGTTTGAACCACCAGTCTTCTGGTTAGCAGGCAAAGGCCTTAGGCACTATGCCACCAGAGCTCCCAACTTCTTGATACCAGAATTCTTTCCTACTGTCCTTTTCTCCTCTGTAGAGTACTTCAGGTAGACACTGGCATCAAATAGAACTGCCTGAAAAGATGAAACTTCTGTGTCATCTAGGATTAGATATGGTTTCTAGACTATGAATTTAAAATGATCTGGAAAATTCACATAAGTAGAAAAAATAAATTCGTGTGGATAAGAAATATAAACCCTGTAACTACTTAAATTTGACCAAGCTCTATGATTTCAAAATACCACTATAATATTTAAAAGAGAAACAAAACTGAAGTTGTGACAGCAAATTTGAACATCGTGAATATTAAACTTTGTAACTTTCATTAAAAAATAATTACGTAAACGAAGTGTTACCTAGCAGTGATCTCGATGAGATTTCCTTTTAGCAGATTGAAGTAACTATCCTATCAATCATACATGAAGAAATCCATCATAGGGGTATGATCATGTGACTGAGTTCACACTAGGTATTTCACTGTACTAGGCATCTAAATCATAGAGCTCTGGTGGTGCAGTGCCTAAGGCATTGACTGCTAACCAGAGAATAGTGGTTCAAACCCAACAGCCGCCCTGTGGAAGGATGATGGGGCAATCTTCTTCCATAGAGATTTACCACCGCAGAAACCCAATGGGGGTCGCTGGGAGTCAGAATCGACTTGATAGCAGTGAGTCCCCCCGCTACACACACACAAAGGCATCTGAATGCTACACTGCCTTGAAACAGCCCTCACCATTCCTTGAGACATTTTCGATTTTGCTACCATGTCTTAAGGTAACAGACACAGACCACTGCTAGAAACAAGAGAAAGAGGCAGTAGCTCCTGAGGAGGATCAAGTTTCTGTGTCAAAAAAACTACAGAGAGACTAGAAATGGGAAGACAATACAAAATGAAGTAAAGATTTTCCAGTGGGTGTCCGTTTCCCTTCTCTGGAATATGCACATCTGGACACTTCAATGGTCTGAAGTGTGCAGCTTTGTTTTTTGAAGGCATTCCTTATCCTTCTCCTCAAAGCACTTGACATCTGTGAAGATCCCATGAAAGGCAGGTTATCATATGACTGGGTGTTTCATTAGCAAAGGCTGAAGGGGCTCAACCCTCTGAGGGAAGGGAAAGAATCCTGTCTGAGAGGGCAACAGACACTTTGGCAACCTGGAACAGCTGGCTCCGTATCTACCCACTGTTGGAACAGAAGTGAATCTTAGGTGTTTATCACTAGGGAAAACTAGAATGGTTTAGGGGACATTTACACTGTTTGGAAGAAAAGAAAATCTCGAAGATCAACATTGTCTACCCATGTGGATTACAAACAGCCATTCTGATCCTTACATGCAGTAGATGACACTGAACCAAGTCAGGCCATTGTGAATTCCATGAACGGTTTTTTTTTTTTTTTCAAAGAAAAAAAAATAATAATTGGAAAAAGCAAATGGAAAACTGTATTTGGATGAACTAGGGTTGTTATTTTTTTGAAAGTCAACTTATGGACAGCCAGAACAGCTCCCCAATGCACTGAACCTCTAGAATGTGAGGTTGCTTCAAACTTCTATGTGGGCTTTCGGTTTTGGTTTTAGCAGACCTTCAATTTGGATATTTGAAGAAACAAGTATCATCGTTTTGTTCCTGAGGAAAGTCAGTGATAGATTTATTTTTTGTAAAACTGACTTTGTTTGGTTAGGTCCCATCAAGTCGGCTCTAACTCACAGCAACCCAATGTACAAAAGAACAAACTCTGCCTGGTCCTGCACCACGCTCACAAAACTTGCTACACTTGAGCCCACTGTCGCAGCTGCTGTGTCGATCCATCTCGTTGAAGGCCTTCCCCTTTTTTGCTGGTCCTCTACCTTACCAAGCATGATACCCTTCTCCACGGAATGGTCCCTTCTGACAACATGACCAATGTAGGTGAGATGAAGTCTGGCCAGTCGCGTTTCTAAGGAATATTTTGGTTGTACTTCTTCCAGGACAGATTTGTTGGTTCTTCTGGCAGTCCGTGGTACTTTCAGTATTCTTTGCCACCACCACCCTCTCAAAGGCATCAACTCTTCTTTGGCCTTCCTTATTCACTGCCCAGTCTTCACATGCTTATGAAGTGAATGAAAGTAACATGGCTTAGGTCAGGTGCACCTTAGTCTTCAAAGCAACATCTTTGTTCCTTAACATTTTAAAGAGGTCTTTTGCAACAGATTTGCTTAGTGAAATATGACGTTTGATTTTTTTGACTACTACTTCCATGGGTATTGACTGTGGATCCAAGTAAAGTGAAAACCCTGACAACCTCAATCTTTTCTCCATTTATTGTGATGCTGCTTATTGGTCCAGTTCTGAGGACTTTTGTTTTCTTTATGTTGAGTATAATCCATACTGCAAACTGCATAGTCTTTGATCTTCATCAGTAAATGCTTCAAGTTATCTTCACTTTCAGCAAGCAAGGGGGTATTATGTGCTTATCGCAGGTTGTTGAAAGTCTTCCTCCAATCCTGATGCCACATTCTTCTTCATATAGTCCAGCTTTTCAGATTATTTGCTCATCATACAGACTGAATAAGCACAGTGAAAGGATACAACCCTGACATACACCCTATCTGATTTTAAACCACACAGTACTCCTCTGCTATGTTCGAACGACAGCCTCTTGGTCTGTGTACAGTTTCCTATACTTAGATACTAAAATTTGGTGCTTATAAGAGGAAGTTAAAAAAAAAAAGTAGACTTCTATGCCTCACAGAGGAGCTCTGGTGGCATAGTGCCTAAGGCATTTCACTGCTAATCAGAGGACCGGGGATTTAAACCCACCAGCCACTCCTCAGAAGGAAGGTTGGGCAATCTACTTCTGTAGAGATACTGCCTCAGAAACCCAAGGAGGGGTCACTATGAGTCAGATTTGGCTCAATGGAGGTAAGTTTTTTTGGTAGTTGTATGTTAGAAATGAATATTGGGTATGGATAACAGAGAGCGTTTAAGCCTGCCTTCAGCCGATACCTGATGAGATATGCTAAAAGGGGAAATAGAATCTGTCCAGAAGAAACATGGGCTTTTATTTCAAGGCCTGTATGTAGAATATTGGGGGTTTAGGTAGAAACCCTGAGCCCCACCCAGAACATTCAGAGTTAGGAAGTTTACATTTGAAAAGAAATGGAGATCACTCAGAACTATTGAGAGAACAGAGGATTCACATTTGAAAGAAAGACTTGCAGAGAAAGAGAGAGAGAGAGAAGGAGAAAGAGAGAGAGAAAGAAACTGTTTGGCTTTTTTAATTTGGAGCAAGTGGCTTGGCTTTGGATGCATCTAGCCAGGAAAAGTCATGGCCCATAAGAGAAATCTCTTCCAGGACTGCAAGTTAAAGGAAGCCAGTGAGTAGATAGCTTTGTATTTGTATACTGCTTGCTTGTGCCCCTGTGGATCCACTTGAGTAGAAGTTGGGGAGGTGTAGCAATGAAAAAACATAAGAGGAAGGGCTGGCTAGTCTGAAGTACAAGGAGTTGTGCGGACTCCTGAGCCTACTGGCATTGAATTGAGGGCTAGAAATGAGAGAGAGAAGGTGCTGGCAGATCTGAAGTGAAGGGAAAAGTGTGAACTCCCAAGCTTGCAGCTGGTACCCATGACGTAGCTTGGATGGCAAGGGCTGAGCTGACCAGAACTCAACCAAATGAAGAGACATTTGACACTATGATGTAAATTGCTGCAATCTGATGGCTTGCTGTGGACTGGACTTTGCTTCTGGATGCAATGCTCAAAGTTTCAACAGGAACAGAAGATTCTTCAGAGAAAGAAGCATGTTTATTTCCTCAGAGTACTGGTTTGATGTTGTCGTTGTTGTTGTTATATGCCATTGAGTCGGACCCGACTCATAGCGACCCCTCCTTGGGTTTCCGAGGCAGTATCACTACGGAAGTAGATTGCCCCATCTTCCTTCCGAGATAGGGATGGGCAATTTAGAAATTGGCTATCTAA